CCACTCCCTGTAATTGGGCATCAGTAGTTAATGCAGTATTGACTGCATTACACGCTCCCGTGCCTCCCCTCACTAATGCCAATTGCATCACCTTGTACAGTCACCAGCTTGCTTAGCCAATAGCCGTTAAAAGCAATCCAAATCATGAATCATATGGGAAACTTTTAGCAAGACACCGCCATCCAAGGAGACAATTTACAGTTGAGTTAATCTGGGTACATTAGTGAGACATGGATTCTGGACGACAGACCAATTTATGTTGTTTCCCTGTCCCCGCCCCCTTAGTGCTCCATGTGGGCAAGTGAATGGAAGAGCGAGGAACAGAGAGAAGCATCTGCTTCTTAACCCAAGGCTCAGGGAGGGGGTGGGGGAGACCCATCTTTACAGACTCTTGCCTGGCTGAGTTTGGGCAGGAAGCGGAAACAGCTGTACGTGATGCTCAAGATTTGCGGTGCTTCATTTCCAGCAGTGAGGAGGTGGCTGCTGCTGGGGCTGACATCTAGGTGCAGGTGGAGACCCTCCGAGTGCCAGGCCTGATCCCCACCCTGCCAGCCTTACAAGGCCTTTCCCAGGCCTTAGGAGGCAACAGTGCTAGTTGGAACCCACCTTCCTGTTGACCTGCTGGGGTCTCTGGCATGGAACAGCTTCAGGGCCCACTCCCTGCCTCCACTCCAGGGGCAGGCAGGTACTGGCCACACTCTGCCAGGAGAGGACCCCCAGGACCCTCTGTGGTCCAGACCATGATGGGATATCCCAGGAGGTCCTGCAGCTCAGCACCCGAGCTTAGCCAAGAGCCTGCCCTCACGATCAACCGAGTCAGCTGTGGAGGCTGTGCTCACAGCAGTCATTAACAATTGAAGACTCGCTGTCTGGTCCGTCTCAGGCCAGCTCCACTCTCCTTAGGCATTTTTACTTATTAAAAATGCTCTAGGAATCACGTCTGGCGTTTAGTTCTACAACCTGCCTGCTGTTTCCTGTGGTCACCCCAGCCTTCCACTGGGTCTTTGCAGAGGCAGCTTACACCCAGACCCACCCTTCTCCAGCATGTGCCTAGGGACACCCCAGGACCCCAAAGGGGGTGTCCTCAGCATCTTCTCCTGCCCACTCCGCCACAATCCAATCTCACTGTTCTTGGGGTTGCTTAGACCCTCTGCTGTCTGCCCCTACTCATGGGCCCCTTCTCCAATAGCCTGAGGGCTAATGTGACTCCTGGGGCTCAGGACAGTAGCTCCTTTTGCTCCCCTGGGACTGCAAGCCTCACCGGAAAGCCCGCAGCCTGGTGCCAGTCCAAGCACAGATGTCAGGGAAAGAAGGGCTATTTCTCCAGAAAAGTGGGAGCTAGGCTCCCTTTGCTGACAGGCAGGCCCGACAGCATTTAGAAAGCCTGGACCCTGAGTTCCAGTAAAGTGGAAATGGCTAGGCCAAGAGCAAGCGTCCAAATGAAAGCAATTAATCTTAAAACCCAAAGTTTAACCGTTTGCAAAACAGATCTTTCCTCTCTGTGGTGGCCCTTTACTGCTCGACCTAATGGATTACTTTATTAATAATGCACTGTGCTTAAAAGCAAAAAAAAATTTTTTTCTGACGATTCAATACTTCAGAAAGTCTCTTAAACCCGTTGCTACGGCAAAGCGATTGATATTTTATTATCTTTCAGAAGTGCAACATGAAAGCCCAGCAGCCCAGCAGAGCAAGAGCTTTGGTCCGTGGCAGCTGGCAGACCCGACTTCAACCAGAGGAGCTCTGGCCGCTTCCGACAAGATGCTGTCAGGTGGAGAAAAGGCTTTCGGGGTGGCTAATAAGAGCCCTGAGTCCCTGTTGCAGCTAGACAAAGGGTGCAGGGACTCAGCCCCAAAGAACACACTCCTTGGGGGCCAGTGCTGCCACCCAGCCCAAAGGGCCACCTGCTGAGAGGGCATAAGTGCTAGGAAGAAATTAGGCAGCAGGTTTAGAGGAGCAGGTGTGCATCCAGAGCCTTTCTCCCTCCCCCAATTAAAGGTGCCAACTTCAAGATTTTGTGGAACCAGGAGAGGACAGGCTCGAACAGGGAGTGGAGGGTGGATATGTGAGCAGAAAGATTACTTTTGGAGGACAGTTCTGGGCTGAGTAGGACAAGAATCCAATGCTCCTCAGGACTGCGGCTGTCTGCCTACCTTGCACTGTAATGGGACCCAGAGATCACTGGCATCAACAAAAGTGGGCACCATATTGTTTAGACTAGACAAGGTGGGGAACCGAGGGGCACCACATGCCACAGGTCTGGTGGAGACTAGAGGAAACACATATGTTTGGGGTGATTGAGATGCACTGTGGGCTGGAGGCAGGAGACTGGCTAAAATGACCTCTGGAGAGCCATTCCCGCTCAGGGCTCATCTGAAAACCTTTAGTATCTCAGAGCCCGAGGCACTCTGGGGTGCCTGGACAGAGAGCTAGCTCCAAGACTCAGGATGGCGGTGGTGGGGCCATCTTGTTGGCATGAGACCAATCTCGCTGCCTGAGGCCCTCAAGTAGAGGGCCAGGTCTCCTGGATTTCTGGCTTGGGCCAAATAACTGCGGCTAAAGACATATCCTGATTTCCACTTGCTTCCCATAGTGAGAGTATCCCCAGTCGCCAAGGTGAGACCTCCTGCACTGGCTTCTCCAAGCCCCATCGTTTTACCAAGAGGAAAAATGAAGTCTAGAGATGATCCTGACTGGTCTGAGATAACACAGGGAGTTAGTGACAAAAGGAGCTAAATTAAGGCCTCCTTTCTCCCTGTGTGGCCCGAGCCCAGATCCCGTCTTCCTTTCATTCTATATACAACTGCAGCGGTCCAGTCCTCTGATTGCCCACACAGGGCTCCAAGGGAGGGGTCCCTGAAGAGAAAAGAGGATACTCTTGACTGAAAATGGATGTCACACCCCAGCTAGACCCTGGAAAATGGGTTCTTTTGGCCAGAAGCATTGAGTTCCCTCTTTATCTCTTACTACACACATACTGAGAATCGGCCTTCACGGGTTTACTGGCCATAGGGCTTCCTCACATGCCACCCTCAGGGCAGACACTTTAAGTGCCCTTCCCTCCGGGAGGTCTCAGAGGTCATGGGGAGTCTGGGGCATCAGCACATGGTACCAGCAAAGTGAACATCTTGTGTGACCTTGAGCAAGTCACTTACCTTCAAATTTTTACGGAGTGACCATGTCAATAGCACCACTGACCTAGTGGGCAGAGGGCACAGCCCAGTGGAGACTCACTAGAAGTCAGAGGATGGCCACCACAGTCGCCCTGAGAGAAGTCCCTCTGACTCACAGAAAATCCACCTTCCAGGTCCTTACCAGTAGCAGCCTGCCTGTCATCTATGACATACACCTACATCTCCCGACAACACTAACAAACTGAGCAACCCTTACCTACAGGGCAGGAGGGTCTGGGACAGCCAGGGGATGGTCTTCTGACCCTGGGGGCTGTGCTTGGTTCACAGGGCACCCCCTTGGTTTTACCCTCAAGGGGGCTGGGTTCCCCAACCTCTCCTGGGCACAGCAGGGCACTCACTGCGGGGCATTCCCACTCAGGAAGCCTTTGGAGTATGAGGGACCACCTGCTGGTGGCCTCCAGCAACCAGGGCCCCTCTGTTCCGATCTCTGAGGCGCCCTGAGAATCCTGACCCCAGCAGGTCCAGGCCGCTTTCGCGGGCCACTCCTGCAGGAGTGCTGCTAGCCTGTCGCGGGACACTTTCTTCCTCGGGGACAAACTCCCGCTGCCGCGCTCAGGAGACGGGGAGACAGTGGGCCAGCGCGGGAGGCACCTCTCCTTCTCACCGAGTCATAGTTGCGCGCGGCTGGCTCCCCGAGGGTCCAGCCGGCCTGGCACCCCAGGGCGGGCGCCGTCTTCCGGAGCGCGGCTCGCCGCAAGCCCTGGAGCCCGATTTTCTAGAAGCCGCTGATTTGCCCGGCGCTCAGCACCTCTCGGGTTACGCGGCGGCGCGAGGGCGATGGCTGCAGTGAGAGCCGCAGCCGCAAAGACGGAACGAAACGCTCGGCACGAACCGCCGCCGCGCGGGGATCCGAGGGGCGCTGGAGCCCGAGCCTCCC